CCCTTTCCAACCGCTTCTCGATTTATGTGGCCCATCCTGTGTTACCAACCGTGTCGCCCGGATCACCTTGGTTGCCCGGGTGGCCTGCCCGGGCAAGTGCCGGGAAGGTTCCTAGCAGTTGGGTCTTTTTTTTTTTCCCCCCTTTCCGACCGTTTCTGGATCTATGTGTCCCATGATCCCATCCTTCTTTTTTTTCCCCCCCTCTTTTATGTGTTCCGTCCTTTTGTGCTCATCTTCTTTGTATCGTTCGAATTGGAGCGGATGTCCTAAAGAAGGGAAAAAAACTGTTGTATTGTTCCGTCATATTTATTTATGTAGATAATCAGGGTCGGAACTTGGGTCTCTTTTCCATCAGTTTATGGGTGTACCAACTGAGCTAGGCTCGTTGGTAAAAGAAAAAGTTTGTATCGTCCATTGTAACAAATAGGAAGGAAAAAAAAGAGTAGACAACGAAAACCAGCCATTTACTTGTCCGTGACGTAGTTGTGGGACAGAAAGGCTATTGACCCAAATAATACACAGCTATAATCTATAGAAGCCGAACACTGAGAACAGTGGGTCATACACATACTACTGCAAGGAAAATGAGAGAGCGAAATGACAGATATCCAGAATGCAAAATCACATTGAAAGCCAGCAAGTCCAACGCTGTCCAAAAAGCAGAAATGCACTGATATTCCACCAACGGAGAACCAGAACACTGAATCCGATTGTCAATGAGAGCATACTCTCGCCATCACCAACATATGTATCTAGAGTCCTTCCTCCTACTTGGCGCTCAGCGCCCAGACTACAATCACACAGCTTACTAGCAGCCTACGGATTGACAATGCATCCAGTTGAAGTACATGAAGATGTCGATCCTTGTAGACCATCGCCAAGACCAGGTATGTGCCCTCACATCATCAACCTCATCTCTCTCTCTCTCTCACCCTCGACTTCTCCCTCTTACACGAAGACAACCACCACCTCCCGCTGACTGTCCAAGCCCAAGCCCGGCTAAGTGGGCTGGGCTATGGCGCTGCCCTCAGCAGTGCTCTGCTTACCGCATGACCGCACCCGCGTGCGCACACTTGCCCTGGATTAGCGCAGCAGCCTGCGAGCGCTAGCTCTAGCAGCACTGCGCATTAGCATGAAAGTGCCCGAACCGCAACGCTGAGCCCTGCCGTTTCCTATATCGGAAGTGGCAGGTGCTTGCACTGCTTTCCCACATGAGGCCGAGTTTCCAGTAGCTTCAGTCTCGGCCAAAGTGTCTGTGCCCAGGCCCGTTCAGACAGTGGCCTCGGACCGAATTGGTTAGGCATGCCCAACCACCCAGGCTCAACGTGGGATGCTCCCTGCTTCGCTATCCGGCGCCAACCAAGATTTGCAAAAAGTGTCGAGTTCAGGGCGCATTGAGATTAAGGGTGCCCGCCTTCACTTAGTGCAGGCACGTGCGTGCTGCAGGGCTCTCTGCCGAGGCCTAGACCCTCCTCCTTTACTTTGATAGTCTTCTGAGAAGTCGTTACACAGCAGGCTGCTTCCCTTTCAAGTTTCGTTCATAACTTGTAATAACTTGGTGAGCAGTCTTTATCAGTTCCTCTCTGGTGAACCATCGATCTTCTTCAGAGTGGGCTTGGGTTCAGGCATTGTGCTCAACGATGTCGTCGATGTCGACGTGTCCGTCCATGGTTGGGGGCAACATTGATCTCCTTGAAGGAAACTGGTTTGTTTCAGTGAAAGGTGAAGGAAATAGGGTGTGTACGAAGGTGACCGGGGATGCGAATGACGTATGAAGGACCATCTGGTTGATCACTCGCTATATCAAGGATTTCCCAGGGTCCAAAATATTGTGGCATCAGTTTACGCGAGATTCCCAACTCATGTCCCAGCTCAGATGATTTGACCCAGACTTGTTCACCTACCTGAAATGCAGACAATCGTTTGTGTTTGTTCTCAGATGCAACCATTGATGTGCTCTAGAATTCTATGCTACGAGGTGCTGCGGCTAGCTGTTTTTCAGGAATCAGAAAGTCAAGAGCAGATCTGGGCTTCCAACCAAGATGCAGCTGCTTGGGAGCCTTGCGATGAGAGGTGACTTTTCATCAGTGCTGCGGCTGGCTGGTTTTCAGTTTTCAGGAATCAGAAAGTCAAGGGCAGATCTGGGCTTCCAACCAAGATGCAGCTGCTTGGGAGCCTTACCGGTAGTGCTGTGCACAATATTGTTATACAGGCTGGGGATGAGAGGTGACTTCTCATCCCAGTCATCTTGACTTGGCTTAATATGATGCCGAAGCAAGTACTGCACTACCCGGCTCATCTGTTCGGCCTGTCCGTTTGACTCAGGGTGGTTCCCTGATGTCATTTGCAGTTGGGTACCCATCTGTTGGGCTGTACTTCGCCACAGTTCACTGGTGAATCTGACATCCCTGTCGCTTACAATAGACTTAGGGAGACCGAAGTCGTGTACCGAATTGACCGTAAATAGCTTGATGACGTGATCAGTCTTAGCTGTCTGAGGCATAGCGATGAGTCTAGCATACTTAGTGAACCTGTCCACAATGACGAAGATGTGCCATTTACAGCTCTTGCTGGTCACAAGGGTATCCATGAAATCCATGGAGGCAATGGCTTGATAAGCCCAAGTGGTGCCCGTGTCCATGGTTTGTCACGCTAGCAAACCTGGCAAGTTTCTACATACCTTTTTGAATCGTCCATTAGTGTGGACCACCAAAATCGCTGCACTAAATTTGCTGCTGTCTTTTTTATAGCCGAAATGACCGGTTGCATGGTGACACTCACGTAAAAATGAACTACGCGAAGACTCTCTATTCGGTATACACAAACATTTATTCCCAGCCTTCTCAAGGAACAAGAATCCGTCAACCAGCACAAACTCATCGGGAATAGCCTTGTCTTTAGCTTCCAGTTTGTGGATGATCTCAGACATGACTGCATCTTCTTCATAGGCTTCCACCATAGACCGACTTACATTGTCATAAATTCCAAACTTAGTCACTACAGTCTTCCCCCGAACAAAACACACGTATGTACTATTCAACTTTCCCTGGAAAAGTCGATTTCTCGAAGTTATCCTCCAAAATTCAAATAGAATGCACGTTCAAATAGTACGCACGTATGTTATATTCGAATAGTACACATATGTTCTATTCGATAGTACGCACATATGTTCTATTCGAACACGCGGGTGTTCTATTCAAATAGAACATACGGGTGTTCTGTGTGTGTGTGTGCTTTGCATGGAGCTCTTCTTGGTGGCTTACCGCGATGACAGGTGGAGGTCCTCTTGGCGGTTTACTGTGATGGCGGATCGTGGTCGTGTGGCAGATCTTGGCGGGTGATGGCGATGCTTCAAGACTGCATCGATGTCGGACGAATCTGTTCGAATCTTCGACTGCATCGATGTCGGACGAATCTGTTCGAATCTTGTACACAGCTCGTAATGGGGCCGACAGTTTGAATGTTACGTACAGTCAGGGCCTCGCTCCACTACTCTCCACATGCACAATAGATGAAAAATGCGGCTATGTATAATTCCATTTTCAATGGTAAGATTCATTCACGTTTTGCACATTTGGTGAGTAGTGGAAGGGGCCCCCTCTATTAGGCCCTGTGTGTGTGTGTGTGTGTGTGTGTGTGTATGTGTGTGTGTTCTCCCCTAATG